GCGACCCCTTTGGGGGTCGAACAACCCTTTCACAGGGGTTGCCTAAGACCATTGGAAAACACATATATAATTACTGTTTTTGTGATTAATCACTATGTTTTAATTATGTTCAATTTGTAACAGTGCAATTGGGGGTCACCACAACATGAGGAACTGTTAAAGGGTCGCGGCAGGAGGAAGGTTGAGAACCACTGTCCTAGAGGAAGAGGAAACTGAGGGAGCTGTAAGGGTGAGAGACTAACATGAGGTCTGGGGCTGTCCTCCCCAGGGCATGGTGATGGTGAGCCCCGAGATGAACCCCACCATCTGCTCAGTGTTCGAGGCAGAAATAGTCCTACTGTTCCATGCCACCACCTTCCGGCGAGGCTTCCAAGTGACAGTACACGTGGGCAATGTCCGCCAGACGGCAGTGGTGGAAAAGATCCATGCCAAGGTGAGAGGGACCCAGCTGTGCACATTTTTCCAGGGAAAAGTCAGAATTCTCCTTCCAGAAAGGCCTGGCCCCAGACTCAGAGAGAACTCCCTGGTCCCACAAAAGGGGCAAAGACCCATTCAGAGTGGGTAGAAGCCTGATAGGCCCCAGAGGGTGGAGAACCCAGGCTGGTAGAGAATGGGACCCGAGGCATTAGCAGGGCCAGTGACCGCATATCTGCTGCAGGACAAGCTGCGGACGGGGGAGAAGGCAGTGGTACGTTTCCGCTTCCTGAAACACCCAGAGTACCTGAAGGTGGGCGCCAAGCTGCTGTTCCGGGAGGGTGTCACCAAGGGCATCGGCCATGTCACAGATGTGCAAGCCATTGCAGCGGGAGAAGCCCAGGCCAACGTGGGCTTCTGAACTCCAAGCAGGCGCAGCTCTATTGCTGTCCCTACAATATAAGATGCCTCTGGCCATGCTGCCCCCTGTTGGCGGCTCTGTGTGTTAATAGGCTAGGGAGAGGGGTGCTCCCTGCCACCATGCTGGAAAGGTGCCAAGCTTGGTGTGGCCAGGGAGGGAAAGCCCTGAGGGAGAAGACAGGAGAATTCAGGGCAGTGCTCAGCAGCTGTGTGTCCATCTCGTTGGCTCATCCACCCTGGAAACCCCATGACCTGTCTCCGGAGGGAGCTGACCGCTGCCACCTTGGCCCCACTGTCAGGACTGGGCATGATTCACCGGTGTGGTCCCTGCACTTCAGGAATTGTCACAACTGGGAGTGGTCCTCGAAAACACTCCTTTTTCTATACCTCTTCTGAAGACCATGTAAGTTGCCCATCTCTACCTGACTGTGGACAGAAGACATCTACTCAGGCTCCTGGCCATCTGGTGGCCTAGGGTCTGAAGAAATGGCACAGGGACAGTGAATGGCAATGTTCCATCCTGTGCTGAGACATGCAGCCTATTCCTCAGCTTTATGGCCCTTCCCTTCTTCACTGAAGGGCCATTTCCCCCGTTTCTCGTCTCATAGGCCCCACAGGTGCTATTTGTTGAGCTGGCCCAGGTGTGGGGCTGCCAAGCTAAGGCTTGGTATACCAAAGGTCAGCTGCATGTCAATCAGTTTTGTCCCCTCTTCTGCAGTGATCTGTTGGTTTTTTGTGTGTTTTTTTTCAATTGGTTTTAGAAAGAGGAAGGGAAGAGAGAAACATTGATTTGTTGTTTCACTCATATATGCATTTATTGTATATGCCCTGACTGGGCATCAAACCAGAAACCTTGGCATATCAGGACAGTGCTCTAACCAACTGAGCTATCCGGCCAGGAGTGACCTGTTGGTTTTAATGCTGGAGCAAGCCGTATGTTTTACTTTCCCACACTGACCCACAGCTCCCGTTCCACCACCCCCACCCTGCTTCCAGCTCCTACATAAGTCCTCTTGTTTTAGTAATTTGCAGTGACTATCCCTTTCCCTCTGTTGCTGGGAACCTGGAGAGAAGGGAAAGTTGTTGCCATATTTCCTACTCTTTAGGACATGGACTCCCTCCTTTCCCTTTGTTAGTGTCCTGGGTTCCCATGGACTCAGGGATTTGTTGGTTGAAGTTTCTTTGCGTATATATATATGTACATACATATATATATTTAAATACACACACACACATATATATATATATATATTGTACAGAATAAAAATGTTTTATTGAACACACTGTGCTTATTAAACACAGGTTCAACTTCCAGAACTAGATTCCTCTCTGGGATTAGAGACAAGTGAAACCCCAACACTGCTGAACCCTGAACGGGGAAAGAGCTCATCGAATACCTCATTCACCATTCTTCCTTTCCTCTCTCCCACCTGCGATCAGTGTTCCAGTATTGTGATCAAGTATTCTGAGCTGTTTTGCATAGTTCTTTGAGTGAGCAGAATAGAAAGCGAAACTGCTGTCTTTTGAGCTGAGATAGGTAACCACCTCCTACTTAAACCCTTTGAGTGCCAACCAATATCCTAGGAAGTGTGCTAAAATTGCCCAGGCATTTCTGCTGATTTTACAGCAGTTTAGGAAAAAAATTATGATCGCAAGTAAATGAAGTTACATATTCAAAAACTTAAGGAAACCTTTACTACATTTGTTTTCATCTTTGACATATATTGTTTGCTGATGCTATTATAAAATACTAGTAGAAAAAAAATTTGAACAAAACATGTAATGTTAAAATAGAGGGACACCCTTCTCCAATATCGTCCACAAAATCCTCATCTTCACCGCAAGAATTGACATATTTAGTAATATCATCATCACTAATAAAAGCAGACTTAGAATTGGACGCCATTTCAAAGCTTCAGGGCTACAAAATCTGAGTAACCTTCATAAAATCGTAGTACCTGTAAAAAATTAGGCAGATAAATGCCAGTGGTCAATTTTAGAACTACAAACATTCGGCATCATAAGTAATCTGCACTTAGGTGCCATCTGTCAATAAAGAGTGAACTACTAGCATGTAATAGTGACACTGCAGGAGGAGCGCGATTGCGCTTCCAGCACTTTTGACGAAAGACGGGAGGAGTGTGATTGCGCTCCCCGGCACTAGGGTTTAAAGAATTGGCCACTTGCTAATGGTAAGGAACTCACTACTGTGTCAGAGATTAGTATGCCAGCTACTTAATGAAGAGTAGAATTTAGAGACATGGTAATCTGGTCCTCATGCTTTACCTAGCAATGCAAAATAGCCTGAAGTGAGGTTTATGGACCCTAAACTGGCTCCTTGAAGCTATGAGGGCCACCTTCCCAAACTTTAGTACCTTCCTGTTCTGTGTTCAGAGTACCTGATTATCACAGTCTATGGGTAGAGAAATAGGGCTCAACGTTAAAATCAACTACAAAAAGCAGGGACTGCATTTTGAGCACTGAACTTGGAAAATGAAATTTAATGATAAACGTGGCCTGATAAATTTAGTGATAAATGATACCCAGGGGCATTCTGTCTCCAGGGTATTAAAGTGATAGCTTCCCTACCTCTCAAGCTCAGCTGCTTTTTTTGCTCACTGGTTTCACTTGTCACGAAGAAGCCTTACCGTTGAAGACCTTCCCGTGTTGGGAACCAAGAGAAGGTTTGCTTCCATCTGTACAATTGCTGAGCTATACGGAAAGGTTATATTTGACACACAAAAAAATGTTTTTGTTTTTGGGAGACAACAAAGTTATGCTCAGAAATTGACTTTTGTTTTTGCCAGCTACTTATTTAGCACAGGTTCGCTGTGGGTGTTATGATTTCAAAAGCCAGTAGCATACAATATCTCTTAATAAGCAAAGTAAAGAAATAACGTACATCAAACAAATGACAGGTTAATCACACTACCAGGAGGCACTTGGGAGGGTATCGACCTACCAAAGAGCTGATTTCCAGCTGCCAGCATAAAAGTCAGAGTCCGCTGTTGCTGGAGCATGTTGCTAGGGCACAAGGACATTAGGTAGTAGGAGGGCTAAGCTGCTATGAGGATTATCACTTCTGAGATCCCTGCATGGGTTGATTTTTTTTCATTTTACTGATTTTTAGAGAGAGGAAAAAAACATCTTTTTGTTGTTCCACTTAAGATACATTCATTGAATGTGCCCTGACGGGATCAAACCACAACCTTGGTGTATTGGGACAACGCTCTAACCCAGTGGTCACCAACCTTTGGGACCTCACAGACCACCAGTGGTCCATGGACCACCGGTTAGCGACCACTACTAACCGAGCTACCCAGCCAGGGCAAAACCCTGCATGGGCTTAACACAGGGGTGGGCAAACTTTTTGACTCGAGGGCCACAATGGGTTCTTAAACTGGACCGGAGGGCCGGAACAAAAGCATGGATGGAGTGTTTGTGTGAACTAATATAAATTCAAAGTAAACATTACGTAAAAGGGTACGGTCTTTTTTTTTTTTTTTAGTTTTATTCATTTCAAACAGGCCGCGCGGCCCGCGGGCCGTAGTTTGCCCACGGCTGGCTTAACACCACTGTGGACAAGTAGGAGCACATGTCTCAAGTGTCTTCAGAGAGTTCTTAGGTTAGCACAGTGGTCGGCAAACTCATTAGTCAACAGAGCCAAATATCAACAGTACGACGATTGAAATTTCTTTTGAGAGCCAAATTTTTTAAACTTAAACTACATAAGTAGGTACATTGTTATTAACTTAATTAGGGTACTCCTAAGGCTTAGGAAGAGCCACACTCAAGGGGCCAAAGAGCCGCATGTGGCTTGCAAGCCGCAGTTTGCCGACCACGGGGTTAGCTAATAGTTGTCTCACCCAAACCAAAACTCTCATAGTCCTCACAAACTCTCAGTATTTATAGTCTAAACTTGAGGCCCAGTGCATGAAATTTGTGCACAGGTAGGATCTCTAGGCCTGGCCAGCGATCAGGGCTGATCTGTGGGGTGATGGGGGTGGGGGAGGGGCCTCCCACTGGCACCCGCCTTGGCTGGCCTGGGGGCAGCTCCTGCATTGAGCGTCTGCCCCCTGGTGGTCAGTGTGCACCATAGTGACCAGTCGTTCCGCTGTTTGGTCGATTTGCATATTAGGCTTTTATTATATAGGATATCCCCTTACCATTGTTGCTTCTCCACATGTTCCTATTGGTAAGCCCCCAGCAGGACCCTCCAGTTGGGCTTCTGACTGCTTATCAACAACAGATGCAGAATGATCACATGCTGGCATAATTCATCCTTATATCAAAGCAACTTTTCAAAACCTGTCATAAACAACTGAATTAAAACAATTTCACTTAGGTCATAAATGGATTTGAAATATTAAACCTATACGCAAATCACCTGTTAAAGAACAAAAATGCTTTTTTTTAAATTAAAATTATTTTTTATTAAAAAATTTTTTTAACTTTTCCTGGATTGAGAAAGGAAATTTTGGAAAATCATCTCAGTACTTAATGAGACATATTCAGGAACTAGTGAGCCACTCTGCTATGTCAATGGGACATGCAGGATAAAAAGGTACATAAAGCAGCTCTCTGCCCCCCTCCCCCAAGTAGTATGTATATTTTGATTGCTCCAGTTCTAGTAACTATCTAAAATTTTTTACTATGCTTCATTTAGTGAATATCAAGCATCTATTATGTGCAAGACACTGAAGAATTCTTACCTCCAAGAAACTGCAGATCTAGTAGGGAAAGGACCATGTATACAGTGAATACTGTCTTTTATTAGATATTTAACTGCAATAAAAAAAGGAAACTATTTTTGGAGGAATAAATTTTCTGTTAGACCCAGTGGTTTTCAAATGTTTTCCCCCATCTTCAAAGTAAATACAGATCCCCAGTTTATAAGATTAAAAAGCAGTTGGTTTGAGTGTATGTGTAGGAGGGGGGATATGTACACCATTCTCCCTACTTCTCCACTACCCCCACCACAAAACGCAATTCTTCAGTTTTTTATATATTTTTTATTGTTGATAGTATTACAGATATCTCCCATTCCCCCACCCTTTTCCGTCTTCTCTCCCATCCCCCCCCCCCCCCAATGTCTTCACTATCCTTCATCTTCAGTTTTATTCAAGGTTCCCCCATATCAGAAAAGCTGACTTTCCACATATAAGAACAGAGCTAAGAATACAGTACTATAAACATGGACAAGTGCAAAAAAGCTACAATAATTGAAAACCCTTAAGCTAAATAGTCACTTTAGTAGGAAAGAGATGAACACCCAGTGACCCTGAAGGCCCAAGTACTACCCCTTAAATCTGTACTTTAGAATTTAAGTAAATGCTCTCTACAAACCTGGCTGGTTGTTGGTATCTTCTAGATCAGTACTTCTCAAACTTTAAGGTACAGCCTGAGGAATCTTGTTAATATACAGATTCTGATTCAGTTGCGGTGGGTGAGGCTGAGATGATTTTAACAAGTCCCCTGCCCTAGCTGACTTGGCTCGGTGGATAGAGCGTCAGCCTTCGGACTGAAGGGTCCCAGGTTCGATTCCGGCCAAGAGCACATGCCTGGGTTGCAGGCTCGATCCCCAGTAGGGGGTGTGCAGGAGGCAGCTGATCAAGGATTCTCTCTCATCATTGATGTTTCTATCTCTCCCTCTCCCTTCCTCTCTGAAATCAATAAATATATTTTTAAAAAGTCCCCTGATGAAGCTGCTGCTGCTGCTGCTCCTGAAAAGCACATTCAGAGTAGCAAAGGTCTAGAGCTGATCTAGTTCTGATCATGACTTATCCAAGTCATGATTAAACAGAGTTCCTGAAGTGGTGCAGTAACAGTCTCGTACATTAGGACATGATGCAAGAGGTAGAAGGGCCAATGGCTAAAACTGGTTATCATACAGTTTGCTTGTATGAAATTCAGTATTTACTGAGTGACCCCTGTCACAGAGATAAGGGGAAATTTTCTAAAAAACTTTTTTTTTACTCAGTTCCTTTTCTGTGCTACAGTACTTTAATAAATTGTTCCTAATCTACAGTAACCTGTAAGGCATTATTTTTATTTTGCTCATTATCTCAGGGATGAGGAAAAGTGAGGAAAGTGACTTGCTCAGCGCCATATACTTTAGGAGGCAGAACCAGGTTTGGAACCAGATCTCTGAGGCTCCAAGGTCCACACATTTTTAACTATATGCCTCCCTAAACACTTAACAATTAAAAACTGAAAGCAGTTGTATCTCTGGAAGATGAATTTTTACATCTCTGTCAGCAATGAAATCAGGATCCATGCCGGCGAAGAGATGGGAGCCTTAACTCAGCATTTAAGTGCATTATTTTTCTTAGAAAATTTTTTATCAAGTTATGAATTTCCTTGAAAAGTGAACATATTTCCATTTCCCAGGTTATAAATAAAATATTAAAAACCTTGTAGCAAGCCTGAGGGCAGCACTAGTGTGGTAATGGCTTAAAAAATGATTCCAATGTCTGCATGCCCTCAGGCCTAGGGCGTTTGTTACTGGAGGCCAAAGGGCTCTTGGGATTTCTTTTGCCTTGAGGAGAACTGGCAGGAACAACTTGGGGGTTTGAGGAGTGGGGCTGCAAAAAGGATTTCTGCAACTCCAGTGCAAAATGATAGTCCATATGTTCCGGCATCTCCCACACAGGTACCAGACCACCACACTTCTCACAGGACACTTGATCCTCAGTAGCCAGAAGACTCGGGATAGTGGTTGTCTTCTGAGCCCCCTCCGGAACAGACTGGGGAGTTAGAGAAGCAAGCCCACTGGGGCTGTTCTGGGCCAAATCCATCTCTGCAGGAGTTGCTTTACAGGATTCTAGCTTCAAAACCTCCTCACAGACTGGGGCAGAATCTGGACATTCTGCTGGAACATTGTTTGTTAACTTTTTAGGACTAGGCTGTGGATTTTGTGGAGGGAAGGAGATGGAAGGATTATTAAGCTGTTTCTGCTTCAGAAGCAGACTTTTCTGCTTAAAGAATGGCTCGATTCCTGTAGTACCGCTGGTCTGGAAAGGTAATGAGAGCTTGCGTGGTGAATTGTTTTTGGGGGCCTGGGTAGTGGCAGTGAGAGACGAAAGTGAAGCTTCTTTGACTTTCTGCTTTTCTGCAGCTTTTTGGAAAAAGGATTCCAAAGGATTGGTTGCTTTCTTAGTGGCTGTCACCGTAGGGCCACTTCCCTGGGTCTTACTTTCTGGGCTGGTAATTGGTACCTTTGGCAGAGGACTTGAATCGTTACTCAAGAAGACGGTGATGTCTGTGCAAGATGAAGGGGCAGAGGTAGAGAATTTGGTAGCACAAAGGAAAAGCATTGTGAGGGGAGGGGACCTGTATGGAAAGAAAAAAAACAACAACAAAAAACAAGATTAGCACCAGGTCACAGATTGGAATTATAAGTGACTGGGATTCTGATTCTGCCACAAGAGGTAATTATTACTGCATTGATTCTCAAACTTTAGGGTGTATCAGATTAATGTAGATTTAATAGACCTGGGATAGACAGAGAATTTGCCTTTCTAACAAGTTCCTAGATGATGCTGATGTTGCTGATCTAGGACCACATCTTGAGAATTGCTGACTTGGTGAACTAGTCACACATGTGTAAGTTGGATCCCCTGACAGCTACATATTACTGTTTTCATACGACACTGCTGCAGAGCTGCTGTAATTCAGGGTGAGGGCAAGAAACTTTACTCGGGGTAACAAAGAGCTTCAGAAAATTTAGACAAGAAAAATTTTTTTTAAAAACCTCTCACCCATTTTGTTTTTAAAAGGGCACCACCTGATACTAACACTGACAGGCTTCCTTTCTTTATATTTCTTTTATATTTTTATTGATTTCAGAGAGGAATGGAGAGGGAGAGAAAGATGGAAACATCAATGATGAGAGAGAATCATTGATCAGCTGCCTCCTGCACGCCCCCTACTGAGGACTGAGCCCACAACCCTGGCATGTGCCCCTGACCGGGACCGGGAATCAAACAGTGACCTCCTGGTTCATAAGTTGACTCTCAACCACAGAGCCACACCAGCCAGACTGGAATACTTTTTAAAAAATGTAACGGGCTGTTAAATAGTTAAAGGATTCCAACATTGAAAATAGTATCTGGATAGTAAATGAACACCATCCAATCATGTATTTGGTTATTTTTCATGACTGACTAAAGTTTATTTAACATGACATTTGGTATTGTACCATGGAGCTTGTAACTGAGTTTGGATGCTAGATAGAGGTTATCAATGAGTGTGGGTTTCATTATCAAGGAAGATGCTTTTAAGATAGAAAAATCAAGTAGTTGAGAAAGAAGTTCCCAAATGTGCTGTGTTCTTGAAACTTTAATTCTGTACCCCCAAGTGCAATTGGTCATTCCCCTGACTATTGCAAATGATACAGGTAAGGATAGTATTGACTCACTCTCTCTCTCAAACCTACCCCTGGGAATTGGATTGCACCAAGTGTAGGCAAAAAAGTTGCAGCTGAGCTGTCTTTTTGCAGGTGTTTCTACTGTGTTTCTCTCCTTTGTACATGACTATTGCTCTCGGTATTAGGTCCTGCTAGCCAGAGTCACAACTACTCCGGCTGGAAAGTTTATATTACCCACTAATTTTAGAGCAAGACAGGGTATAAAGCATTGTGAGGGGAGGGGACCTGTATGGAAAGAAAAAAAACAACAACAAAAAACAAGATTAGCAAACAAGATTAGCATTTTTTCTCTTCTGAAAAAATGAGCTAGAAAGAAACTCACCATTCGGTTTGGATTCCTGAAGTATTACAGTTCCTGATGACAGCAAATGCATCATGGCTCATCTTGTGAGCATCGTAGCGGGTAAGGGCACAGCAGCGGCGCAGACTGCTGAGACGTTTGTCTCCTTGTACACGAATGCTCACAACCAACTGGGTGGCTACCCGGTCATTCTGTGGGTATAAAAGGATTGAGACCAGAACTAAAGTTACCGTGAGCATCTGGATTCTGTATACTGAACTGTGTGAGAGAACATTAAAAGAACCAGGGTGACAGAATGGTTTGGAAATAGTCAAGTTTAATTTGAAATTAAAAAAAGAATTGTGCTATTTTGGTGGATAAGAAGAAATTAAAGAAGATACAATTTGGATGATTATTAGGATATCTAGGAAATTTTGACAGGTGATGCAAAGAGGAGAGAATAAATAAAATGGACTCTCCTGACTGTTCTTTTTATGGTATCTATGCAGGAAGATGATAACAAATACCTGTAGTACTATATTCTATTTTGTGGCTGAAGGAAGAACTCTTATAAGTAACTGTCTGATGGAAGATCCAAGCTAGGATGTCAAGATGGAGTAGTGGATTTGTTCTTTAATCTGCTCTGATGCTTAATAAGAGAGAAGTTTTCACTAGCACCCCCTTCTTACAGCCCATCACTAGAAGATAGTGTAGTGAGCCTGCCTCCAGACAGCAAGATCATTGGTTCACTTTTCTAGTGAAGTCTAAGCATCTGAATGCTCCTGCTGCAAAGCAAACTAAGAAACAAAGGTCAAGCCAAAACCGGTTTGGCTCAGTGGATAGAGCGTCGGCCTGCGGACTGAAGGGTCCCGGGTTCGATTCCGGTCAAGGGCATGTACCTGGGTTGTGGGCACTTCCCCAGTGGGGGATGTGCAGGAGGCAGCTGATCAATGTTTCTCTCTCATCGATGTTTCTAGCTCTCTATCTCTCTCCCTTCCTCTCTGTAAAAAATCAATAAAATATATTAAAAAAAAAAAAAGAAACAAAGGTCAAGAGGCAGAAATATAAGAAGGTAAAAAGTCTATTACTGGGACCCCCTCAAAATCAAAAGATGTTACTGAGAAGGAATACCCTTAAGGCAAACAAGCCAAGAGTAGCAACTATTTTGGGAGTAAAAATAGAATTTTGTATTTTTGTATACTTTGAAATATAATTCCTACAGATTTGTATATCTTGAAAGAATACACATTGGCAATTATAAAAGGAGTCTGTTGACTAAACCATTCAAGTATAACTGAATGCCTACTTCATATAGGCAGAGATACAGGGTAGAACAAAAGTCCAGGCCCTCATGGATTTTTTTCTTTCTTTTTTTTTTTTTTTTTTTTTTGTAGAGAAAGAGAGGAGAAGAGAGAGAAACATTGATGATGATGAGAGAGAAACATCAACATCGATCAGCTGCCTCCTGCACGTCCCCCACTGGGAGCTGAGCCTGCAACCCGAGCTTGTGCCCTGACTAGGAATTAAACTGGTGACCTTCTGGTGCATAGGTTGACACTCAAGCACTGAGCGACACCAGCTGGGCAGCCCTCATGGATCTTATGTTGTAGTAGGAGCTACAAATACTAAACAAGTAGACCTGTAATAAAAGTGACTACAAAGGGCTATCAAAAAAAGCATAATAAGGCAGAGAGTGCTGGAGGCTGCTGATGTAAGAGGGTAGCTGAGAAGGCCTCTTCGAGAAGGTGAGATTTAAGCAGAGACCTAAATAAACTGTGGAAGCAAATTTTAAGAATATAAGCAAAGCTTCTCCAGGCTGAAGAAACAGCAAGTACTAAAGGGCTAAGGTGAGAATTTGCTTGTTGTGTTAAATAAAAGGGAAGGAAGCCAGTGGAGCGGAAACTAGAGCGGAGTAAGGGGGAAAGGATAGGAGATGAGGTTAGAGACATAACCAGAGACCAAATCATATTGGTCATTACAAAATGAAATAAATCCACACGAGACTTAAGTGTGAAGGGAAACCACTAGAATATTTTATTTTATTTTTAGAATATATTTTTATTGATTTCATAGAGGGAGAGAGAGATAGAAACATCAGTGATGAGAGAGAATAATTGATCAGCTGCCTCCTGCACACCCCCCACTGGGGATCGAGCCCGAAACTCAGGCATGTGCCCTTGACCAGAATCGAACCCGGGACCCTTCACTCTGCAGGCCGACCTTCTATCCACTGACCTAGGGCTAGAATATTTTAAAGTAAAGAGATATGATCTTCTATGTCCAGAATTCTTTGGGGATAAAGTCCTTTTAAGCTTAAAGACAGATTAATTTACCGGCATCCCTACCTATTGAGTTGCGCTGCAAAGTGGGAAGAAAGTCCCAGAGGCTTATACTAGTAGAGATGAGAACGGGCGACACCTAGTGGGCAACGTCAAATAGGTTCACAACAATAAACTGGGATCATACCTCTCTTTATTAACTGCAAAGAACAAACATTCCCCACCATTCAGCTAAAAGGGGGCACACAGGTAGTTTTGGGTAGTTCCTGACTGTATACAGTTGACTTGTAGGGCTCCCAGATGTTTCAAAAGGGAAAGGCCTATCAAACAATACCATCAGGAAAATGAAAAGAATACCGAGAGAATGGGAGAGAAAAATTTGTAAGTTATATATCTGATGAGATTTATACTCAGAATATAAAAATAACTCCTAAAATGCAATAGATAACCCATTTAAAAAATGGGTAAAGGATCTCACCAGACATTTCTCCCCAAAGGATAAGAAAATGGACAATAAGGTTTTCGAGTGAAAACCACAAACTTTATACCCACTAGTAGGGCTAAAAAAATAAATAAAAATAAATAAAAAGACAATAACAAGAGAAATTAGGACTCTCTTACATTGCTGGGGATATAAAAGAGTGCAGCAACAGCTTCAAAATGCTAAACAGAGTTACCATGTGACCCAGGAATTCTCGGTATTAATTATATAGGAGCAAGAGAAATGAAAACCAGATGTCTATATAAAAATCTGTAAATAAATGCCCATAGCAACACCATTATTCATAATAGCCAAAAAGTAGAAACAACTCAAATATCCACTCACTGATGAATGGGTAAACAAATGTAATATCTATACAATAGAATATTCAGTTATAAAAAGGAATAAAATAATGATACATGCTACAATGTGGGTGAACCTTAAAAATATTATTTTAACTTAAAGATTTCAAACCACTCACAAAAGGTCACATACTATATTATTTCATTTATATGAAATGACCAGAATAGTAAGTCTATAGAGACAGAAACTTAGTGATTGCCTAGGACGGGGGGAGTAACTGCTAATAGGTATAGGATTTCTTTTTTGGGTGATGAAAATGTTCTTGAACTGATTGTGGAATAGTTGAACAACTGGAAAATACTAAAACCACTCAACTGTATACTGTAAATGGGTGAATTTTTTAAAACAAGTGAATCTTATGGTATGTAAAATATACATCAATAAAGCTGGGTTTGGTTTTTTTAGGAGAGTAGATAGAGAAACAAATCATCAGATGTCAGGTCTTTGACTTAACACTGTCTCTAAAACGGTTTTCTTAAAATCCTCACCCAAGGAATGAGTATATTATTTCCACTGATTTTTAGAGAGAGTGGAAGGGAGGGGGTGGGAAAAGAGAGAGATGAGAGAAACATCAACATGAGAGACACACATTGATTGGTTGGTTGCCTCCTGCTTGAGCCCCAACCAGGTGGCCAGGGATTGAACCTGCAACTAAGGTATATGCCTTCGACTGAGAATTGAATTCAAGACCCTTAAGTCTGTGGGCTGATGCACTAACCACTGACCCAAACCGGCCAGAGCTAAAACTGTTTTTGTTGATTTTAAAGAGGAAGGGAGAGAGAGAAACATTGATCTGCTGCCTCCCATAAACACTCTGGCCAGAGACTGAACCTGAAACCTAGGTATGTGCCCTGAACAGGAACTGAACCCACAACCTTTTGGTGTTCATGACGACACTCCAAACAACCGAATCACCTAGCCAGGGCAATTGTCAGTACTTCTTTGTCAGTGCTTCTTTGTAAATTATTGGACTATGTTTAAGTCCAATAATTTATAGTCCAATCTCTAAATGTCCTGCTTAATGGCTCTGTACTCTGATAAAGATCCACTGTATATTCAGGTCTGCAGAAGTAGTTAGATAAAGAAATACCAAAGCCCTGGTTGGGTAGCTCGGTTAGTTAGAGCATCATCCCGATATACAGCAAGGTTATGGGTTCGATCCCGTCAGGGCACATACATGAAACAACCGATGAATGCATAAATAAGAGGAACAATAAATCAACGTTTCTCTCTCCCCCCTCCTCTCTAAAAATCAATACATTTTTTGAAAGTTAACAAAAAAAGGACATACACAAAAAAGTAGAGGCAAATGGTAATGAGGAAGACAGGAATATCAGGTCTTATGTTTACAGATCCAGGCTTTCGAAGATCATGTTAACTTTTATGGAAGCAGGTAAAAGATTCCTTAAAAGTTCTTAGCTGGTATATTTTTGTATCTTTGTTTCTACTCCATAAGGTAAGATATTTAAACTGGTATGTTAAATCCCAAAGCTCACCCCAGGAATAAAGAAAGAAAATCTTACATCATTTCGGTCCTTTGTTAGTCTCTCTTCTAGTTCCTGGGCTAACTGCAAAAGCCACCATTGTACCTAAAAAAAGTATTGATATTTTAATCTTTCATTTTAAAATTGTAGTTTATTATAGAACTAGAAGGTAGATTTGTTAAGCTCTCCCCCAAACAGAAGTGTACAAGAAAGTTTTCCCTATAACCAAGGGACCAACATCATAGAAATGTTCAGTACTCTGACCTGCCCTAGTTATAATTTTTCATTTTCTTTTCCTGCTGGCATGCCATCAGGTGAATTTCAGGCATGTTCCAGCTCTGAGAAGAAAGAGAGAAAAAAAAAAGACACAAACTTAAGACACAATAGCCTAGGCCTCCCAAGTTTTCACCTACTATTTTATTTCTTTTCAGGAGGAAAACAAAAAATAATAAATCACATTAAAACTAGTCAATTTTCAATACACACAAAAGAACTCTATTTACTTCATACTTTACAGCATAAAGTTTCCATCTAACTTGTTAAACTTCTGCAGTACCCAAACCTAACCCCCGTGAGAGAGGCAATGTTCTGCCAAGAAGACCAGCCTAAAAGGGGGTGCTGTCATGAGCACGTTGGGCAGCTTGATTGCTCTACATGTGGAACTGACATCAAGATTTTGGAAGCATAATGTGCTGGTATATGGGCAGCTGGTGACCGTTGGTTCTGGCACGCACAAAGGAAAAAAAAAAAGCCTGCTGACCTGTTCTCGAGTAGCCAGAGCCGTCTTTCCTGGGAAGTTCTTGCTGCAGCCAATGGTTTTGGGTAGTTGCCTGGGTTTAACCGGATCATGTTCGATCCCACGGCACATGGCATATAGCCAAGATCTAATAAAACCAGCCAAAAAGTTTAAGGTGAAAACAAATGATTATTCTTATTAAAACAAAACAAAATACCTATATTATACTATCCTTTTATCACCTTCATGAAAAAGGAAACGTTTGTCCAAAATTAAGTATACCTTACCTCTAACAGAATCCCTGACCTTCCCAATGAACTCCAGTGCAATATATTGCCAAGGAGTGGAATGCTGGTTATGCTTTTCAAAACCAAGTCATTATTTGTATTTTTGGAAAAGTGCCAAGCAAGCCACTGATTTATATCCCCAAGTTTTTTGGTACTTACTAAGCCTAAATACAAGGATTTTAAGTGAATATCAGCATCTTAGCATACATAGATGATATACTTGTATATACTTGTATACTTCAAAGTAACAGTTCCTATCAACCTATTTAGGTACATGAAAAAACTACTCTAGACTGACAGGCCATAGTTCTCTAATTTTTTTCATAGTTATCTAATATTTTGAAGCAAAATGACCAATAAAATTACCTCAAGGAGCAAATGCTAACCTAAAGGTAGGTCTAGACTACTAAATTCTTTGGTCTATATTTGAACTTAGTATTCTCATAATAAGAGTTATGATTGAAAAGTATTAGGAATCACTTACCCATTCTTCTCTCCAAAATGACTCTGGAGCTGGGATTCAGTGAACTGGGTCAGTTCACCCATGTATTCTATCCCCAGGATTTCAATGACAGAGGCCCCGAGTTTCCCTCCAAGACTACGACTAACAAAAAAGACAAAGATTTACAGGTCACATCCTAAATATCTATTTAGCAGCAAAGACATTTTGCTTGTGTAAGTAGCTCTCCAGAAGATTCAGGGGAAATAAGAGCACATACAGGTCCTGGAGAATATTGATATCTAGTATAAGACTAGATGATTCTGGGAATTCAGATATTCTGGGATTTCGGACCTGGGAAGATTAACAATAGCAAAAATAGTCTACGGCCACACCACCCTGAACGCGCCCGATCTCGTCTGATCTCGGAAGCTAAGCAGGGTCGGGCCTGGTTAGTACTTGGATGGGAGAACAATAGCAAAAATAAAAGGTTAAAGTCATTAATTCGTCATTAAGCCAATCATATAGCAAACTTTCAATTGTATAGAATCTACTGTCCCATTTTGGGATTAAAATTAACCTAAAGATAGGCCTAGACCTTACTAAATGCAGCCCCCAAACAAATCCATAAGCTAAAAGCTTTTATACTTAAGAATAAAGTAAAAAGTCATCAGCCTGGCCTTAGAGGCTTCCTATAATCTGTTCTCAACTGACCTTTTCAGTCCTGCTTCCATCACTTCTCCTCCTTAATATGATCCAGCTAAACTAGTTTATGTCCCAGTTCACTAAAAATACCTCATACTTTTTCCCTCTTTGTGTTCAAATGTTGTCCAAATCGCTATTGCTCTTCTAGTCTCATCTGACTCTCCAAATTATGCCAAATCCCATGCCTCTTTCATAAATCCTTTTGAAACTACTCTTCTATGAACTTCGATAACTCCCTGTACAATTCATTTAGCAATCACATACACTCTCATGATAACACTCTCACAGTTGCTTTGACCTGCCCTATCTTGTCCTTTCAACAATATTATAAGCCCTTGTAAAGGACACAATTGGTAGGCACAACCTAGATCAGTGAAGGCAAACCTTTTGAGCTCGGCGTGTCAGCATTTTGAAAAACCCTAACTTAACTCTGGGGCCGTGTCACATTTAGAAATTTTTTGATATTTGCAACCATAGTAAAAGATTTATATTTTTGATATTTATTTTATATATTTAAATGCCATTTCACAAAGAAAAATCAACCAAAAAAATGAGTTCGCGTGTCACCTCTGACACGCGTGTCATAGGTTCGCCACCACTGACCTAGATATTCACTTTGTTTGGATTCTTTCATGCCTCAGTTTGGGAGCAATTCAGTAGCCCTGAATACCTTGAAATGATATTAGAAGAAGTAGAACTCCTATTTATTTTGTTATTTAGTAACAGATTTGAATAAAAAGTCTAGAGGGAAGTTAAACATACATCTAAAAATCAGTTCATTTTTGAAAATTCAGTATTTAGTATCTTCCACAGATAATCCAGAATTGATTTCGTTAAGAAAAAAAGTCTGTGTGTTTCTCAAAATTTTCTGTTATCTCCCTCCCACCTCCTTAATACCTATTTTCCATGGCTCCAATCCTTAAGGAACAGAAGAAACTACAACCAGAGGAATGCCTTCAGATGTCTCTGAGTGAAAGTTAAGGCGCTCCCCAAATACTTACATTTTGTTAATAGGCATGTGGCTGAAGAGTTGTGGGACTGACCCATGTGAGACCAGGGTCTGGCGGTTGGGCTTGTGTAGTCCACAGGCCAGTTTTGCCAGGACCTGGAGGATGGAAAGTGTAAAAACCTCATTGCTGTCAACACCCTCACAGAAAACTGGTGAATATTAACATACACATACACATGCAGGCACAGCTAAGGGCTGTAACTAATGGTGTCCACATTAAAAACAAAACCAGAAACTCAACCTCTCTAAACATTGGTTGGGCACAACACCCTTAGTGGAAAACATGACCCACCATCATTATCCACATAGTTCTTTCCAGATCTTCCATTATCGGTTTTCCTTTAGTAATTTTCTACCCCCGTCTCCCACTTCAAGAGGATAAAAAGCAGAGAAACTGCAGAAGAAACTTATGATGCATTTCTTAACGTGTTCATATGAAAACGCTGAAACAAATTTGTTTTACCCATTTATTTACATTTCTTTTATAAAAAATATGTTTTAGAGAGAGAGGAAGGGGGAGGGATAGAGAGATAGAAACATCAATGAGAGAGAAGCATCACCAATCAGCTGCCTCCTGCAAGCCCCCCACAGGGGATTGAACCAGCAGCCTCTTGCGTGGTTCCTGGGTTAATGCTCAACCGCTGAGCTACACGCCAGGCTATTTACATTTCTTTTTTTTTTTTTTTAATATATTTTATTGATTTTTTACAGAGAGGAAGGGAGAGAGATAGAGAGCTAGAAACATCGATGAGAGAGAAACATCAATCAGCTGCCTCCTGCACATCTCCTACTGGGGATATGCCTGCAACCCAGGTACATGCCCTTGACCGGAATCGAACCTGGGACCTTTCAGTCCGTAGGCCGACGCTCTATCCACTGAGCCAAACTGGTTTCGGCTACATTTCTTGATTAATGGTTAGTCCATGAATCCTGGATTTAATACATATTGCCCTAATTTAGTACCTCTCATAATGATTGGGCTCAGAATCATCCTCCAACAGTAAACATTTTACACTATACACAGAACTTCAAAATGAAACAGATTTAAATCCTTGAGACTCTTTCAAAGAATAAGGTACTTCAGGGGTACCATATCACAACTTAAATTGCTGGGGAAAGTATAAAACGATTCTTTAAGTTTATTGGAGGGATTCTCTGGAACTTTTACTGGGCAATACTTAGTCTGGTTTAAATTATTACATTGGGACTTTTCTTTTCCTCCACCCAAGCAGAAAAACAAACAAAACAAAAACACCCAAATTCTTCTGGGTAGTTTGTCAACTTCCCTCTTATCGGAGTGAGGGGGGAGAAGGTAGTAACCAATACTCAGCCACTGCCCAATTATTGAGCCTAGTCAGAAGGGGAAGAACACCCCAGGCCCTCACTGAACTTTAATCAGAAAACCAGTTACTCTGCCCCTGGATTAAAAGTGCCCATATCCCATAAATCAAAATAGTGTTCAAATTAATAAAACTTTACTTTCATTTCTCTTATTAGGAATGGGGGAATAGGCAAAGCATAAAACACCTAGGTCACTCCACATAAGAAATGAGATACTGTAATAAGCCCTGGCCAGTGTGGCTCAGTTGGCTGATGTCAGCCATACACTGAAAGGTTGCTGGTTCAATTCTCTGTCAGGACACATGCCCAGATTTTGGTCTCGATTCCCAGTAGAGGGTGTACAGAAGGCAGCCCATCAATGTTCTGGTCTCACCTTGATGTTTCTCTTTCTCTCTCCCTTCCTCTCTCTCTAAAAATCAATTTAAAAATCTAAAAAAAAAAAAAAGAAAGAAACTTAAAAGAAATCAGATAATACTGGAATATTCTGGAAATAAAAAGAAAATAGATAGATTCAAAGACTAGCCTCCTACTTTCTAGATATTTCAGTCATTAAGGAAATACTTTGGATGCAACTATATAAATAAGCATTTTCTGCAAATTTTTCAGCTTGCTTCTTTTTTTAATTAATTTTTTTAATTATTATTTTCTATTGATTTCAGAGAGGAAGGGAGAGGGAGAGAGAGATAGAAACATCAATGATAAGATAGAACCACTGATCAGCTGCCTCCTGCACGCCACCCACTGGGGATGGAGCCCGCAACCCGGGCATGTGCCCTTGACTGGAATTGAACCTGGGACCCTTCAGTCCTCTTAAGAAAGTACATGTTCAATGTTGATTCTCATGTTAAAGGATTACTTAGGCTTTTATTTAGTCCTCAACATGAATTTTAAATAGAAACCCAGCCAGGCTCAGTGGTTTGAGTATCTGGTTTGATTCCCAGTCAGGGCACATGCCCAGGTTGCCAGCTCAATCCCCAGTAGGGGGCAGCAGGAGGCAGCTGATCAATGATTCTCTTTCATCATTGATGTTTCTCTCTCTTCCTCTTCCTTCTTCTCTGAAATCAATAAAAATATTTTAATAAATAAACAAACATAAACCCACTGCAAAGTATATATGTAATGATTTCAATGCCCCACTTATATCTACCCGTGCTGTATTAAGGACAGGATCTATGTTTCTCTTTGAAATCCGCCATTAGCCTTCACCTTATTGTGTGAGATCCCAGCTGAACACTGAAACCCAGTCTGCCTCTCGATGGCTGCTCTCATTTCCTCCACAATCACTGCTCCCACGGTGAGCTGTAGGTCTGGAGAGGGGGTGTTATCAAACTGAAGGGAATCAAGCCATTGCGATAAGCCTTGTTTTCGCATCTCCTCTGAAAAAGTTGAGAGGTCACATTTAGAAATTTTTTTAAATCAGAATTTTATTTGTGTTATCTAATGCAGAAATGCTTCAATTTCAGGTACTTTCGATATATGTAGGTTTTCACAGAAATGGCAGCCATTTTAGAAGACTGGTACTTACAAGAGAGATCAATTTCTAATGAAAGTTTAAAAAACAAATAATTTTGTTTTTTTCTTTTATTCCTCATTATTTAGTTATTTAGTGAAAGCCTACTTCAAAATATTTCACATATCCATCTTAACCCAGCCTATTTTATTCAGGTTTTCTTTACTCATGCCTTCTACACAGTCTCCACAAATTAAGCATTCTCAAATACCAATGTTATCAATCTTAAATGCCTGCTCAAAATTGCCATTGACTCTCACCTACAAAATAGTCAGCTCTATAAATTGGCACTGACAACTGTCTGCCTTTTTCTTTTCTTTTTGTGTTTGTTACTCCTCACCTGAGAATACTTTTTCCATTGGTGTTTAGAGAGAGTGGAGGGGGGGGGGGGAGGGGGTGGGGAGGAGAGAGAGGGGGGAGGGGAAACATTGATTTGAGAGAGATATTGATTGGTTGCCTCCCCCATGCATCCTACCCAGGGCTGGGGATGGAACCTGCAACCCAGGTATGTGCCCTTGACTGGGAATTGAACCCAAGACCCTTTGGTGCACAGGCGAACACTTTACCCACTGAGCAACACCAGCAGGGCCCATCTGCCTTTTTATTTATTTATTTTTAAACATATTTTTATTATTTCAGAGAGGAAGGGAGAGATGGAAACATCAATGATGAGAGAGAATCATTGATCAGCTGCCTCCTGCACACCCCCCACTGGGGATCAGGCCCGCAACCTGGGCATGTGCCCTTGACAGGAACCAAACCCGGAACCTTCAGTCCACAGGCCGATGTTCTATCCACTGAGCCAAACTGGCTAGGGCCCACTGCCCTTTAAATTTATCTTCCACTAATCCCAAATTTGTTATATCCTTAAATTTCCTGAACATGCCATGTTTCTACCTCAAGACATTAAATTCTATCTCCCTACTCTTACTCCTTAACTCTGTTCTGTTCTCCCCTTTGCTTAAATAAATCTTATCTGTACTTCAGGGCTTATCTCAAGTCTTATCTATCATGAGATCCTCTTCAACTATTCTCGCTAACTTTAGGGTGTCCCACAAAAGTCCTTTAGCTCTTATATGCAACAAGTCTAGCATAATTGTTAAAAGAACACATTCCACATTCAGGACCGATTCAAATATTGGCTTCACAACTTATGGTGTGACTTTGAGCAAGTTACATAATTCTCTAAGCTTTGGTTTTATTGTCTATAAAATGATTGTCTACTGCACCCCATAGAACACTAAGTATAATATCCAACCATTTATTAGTATTTAGTAATAGCTTTGTGAAACAACTTATTGAAATTGTGGGCATTTCTGGACTCCTTTTCTTTTTTGAAAATATTTTTTTATTGATTTCAGAGAGGAAGGGAGAGGGAGAGAGAGATGGAAACATCAATGATGAGAGAGAGTCACTGACTGGCTGCTTCCTACACACACCCCAGTAGGGATGGAGCCAGCAACCCGGGCATGTGCCCTGACTGGGAATCGAACCATGACCTCCTGGTCCATGGTCAATGCTCAACCACTGAGCCATGCTGGTCAGGCTGGACTCTTAATTATAGAGCTAAGTTTTCTCTGCTTTAGATTTCTTCATTATTGCTCTCCCGGATTAGGTAATGTTGCAATCCTCTGTTTCTCCATATCCATGTCAACTGAACAGGACCACAGAAGGTACACAGCATTCTTTGTTTTCTTCTCTTCTCTAGTCAGTAAGAAAAATCTGTAAATCTGTAAAAAAAATTTTTCTTTGCTATGCTGAGGTATAGGGAGAAAATTCAGGCAGTTTTTGCTGAAAAATACCCACTGAGGTGAGAAAAGACTTTCCTTTTCCTATTGGGTACCTTTGTGGGAAATAATTGATCAAAAAATGAGGGAACCTATTGGTATACTTTCTGTTCTGCACCATTTATCTGTCTCATCTGGTACCAATACCACATTGCCCTAGTTACTGTAAATTTATAATTAAATCTTAAAGTCAGATAGTATAAGCCTTCCATTTTAGTTCTTTTTCAAGGTTGTTTGGCTATTCCTCATCCTTTGTATCTCCATATACATTTAAAAAATATTTTTATTGATTTCAGAGAGGAAGGGAGAGAGTAACATCAATGAGAATCATTGATCGGTTGCCTCCTGCTCTCCCCCTACTAGGAACTGAACCTGCAACCTGGGCATGTGCCCTTGACTGGAATTGAACCCAGGACACTTCAGTCCATAGGCTGACACTCTATCCACTAGCCAAACCAGCTAGGGCTCCATACAGATTTTAGAATCAATTTGTCAATTTCTATAAAATCCAACAGGAATTTTGGAAGGGAATGCAATAAATCTGTAGGCCAATTTGGGGAGATGAGCTCTGATAACATTTAGTCTTTTAATCAATGAGCATAGTATGTCTCTCTCCATTGAGTTCATTGTCTTTAATGTCTCAGTGATGTTTTTTTGATATTTTTTTTATTGATTTTAGGGAGAGGAAGAGAGAGGAAGAGAGAGGGGGAGAGACAGAAATATCAATGAGAGAGAATCATTGATTGGCTGCCTCCTGCACGCCCCACAGTGGGGATTGAGCCCACAACCCGGGCTTGTGCCCTGAGCAGGAATCGAACCGTGACCTCCTGGTTCATAGGTTGACGCTCAACCACTGAGCCATGCTAGCCGGGTTCAGTGATGTTTTTACTGACCTAGTTTTCCACATGTATTATTAACATTCTCTGATAATTTCATGATTTTACTGCTATTGCCAATAATATTGCTTTGAAAATCTCAATTTCTCATTTTAAAATTTTATATAGAAATGCAATTGATTTTTAGATTGACCTTTCCCCTGTAACCTTTCTAATCTCACTTATTTTATTTTTGTGGTGGTGGTGTTTTTTGGTGGTGGAGGACTTTTTAGGGTTTTTCTATAAGCATGGTAATGTCACCTGCAAAGAAAGTTTACTTTTTCCTTCTATTTCCTCTTCTGTCCTGAATGGACCATCTTGTACTTCCAGTACAATGTTGAATAGAACAGGCATAAGAGTGAGCATTGCTGACTTGTGCCAAAACTTTGGGCTTAGACTGATAAACCTCTAGCTAGACTCCACAACTCCAGGGACCATAACTACAAAAGAGAAATAAATCCCTTGGAAAGCTGATTAGTGCTTTCCAAGCTCCATCAGGTTGTTGCCAAAATTTATCATTTTGCAGCTTGTAGGATTAAGGCCCCTGTTTTCTTGCTGGCTGTCAGCAGAGGGCAGCAATCAGAATCTAGCCATGGGGTCTTCGTCAAAGGCTCTCTCATAACATGGCAGCTTACTTCTTCAAAGTGAGCAAGGACTCTTAACTTCTAAAACTTTCACCTTTGACAGTTTATTTATGATAGTTTATATTAATACATCACTGTTTCGTGTCATATGCATTCAGAAGCTACTTAATATGTATTTAGAAAGAAAGAAATTAATACATCACTGTTTCATGTCATATGCATTCAGAAGCTATTTAATATGTGGCCCTGGCCAGTTTTGCTCAGTGGATAAGAGCGGCAGCCTGCGGACTGAAGGGCCGCAGGTTCTATTCTGGCTAAGGGCACATGCCCGGAGTTGAGGGCTTGATTCCCTGTGGGGGGCGTGCAGCAGGGAGCCGATCAATGATTCTCTCTCATCATTGATGTTTCTATCTCTCTATCCCTCTCCCTTCCTCTCTAAAATCAATAAATATATATATTTTTTTAAAAAAGAAAGAAATGAATTAAGAGCAAGCAAAGGAGGAAAGAACAAATGAGTTCCTTAGTGAACACAAACTAGTTACAAAATGGCCCTAAAGGGAAATGTTTTACTCTGGCAATTTTTCAGTACTATTTTTAAGTAATCCTACTACTTATACTTTCCACACACACACATAACTGTTTCGGAAACAGAAAATACCAAGTTGCAAATGCAGCATGCTTAGCAGGACTGCTAGCTTTGAACCCATTAAGAATCAGAATGGTAAGGTTATATGTACTTAGATCAGCTAATTTCTGTTATCAGTTTTTTGTTGTACATATCAGATGAAGACTCAGGAATATGACATGCAATCATAAACCATTCACTAGACATTGCAATATTCTGAACTCTATACATAATATATCACTGAATCTGAAAGCTTAATATTTAAACTGGCCACATTAAAGCAACAGATACCTCAGACTTCTTTATAAACACTGTCATTTTTTAAAAAACATATATATTTTTTATTTCAGAGAGAAAGGGAGAGGGAGAGAGAGAGAGACAGAAACATCAGTGATGTGAGAGAATCATTGATCGGCTGCTTCCTGCACACCCACACTGGGGACTGAGCCTGCAACCCCGGCATGTTCCCTGACTGGGAATTGAACCATGACCTCCTGGTTCATAGGTTGACACTCACCCACTGAACCACGCAGGCTAGGCAACACTAGCATTTTAAATAAAAATGTATATAGATAAGAAAGATAAGTCTAGAAAAAAAAGGAGCATGTCCATTTGAGTGAATATTTGACCACCAGCAAAGGTATGTTCCATCATCAGCCAGAGAGCTGCTCAATGAGTATTAACCAAAAACCAATGTAATTTATAGTAAAAGTTCTTATTCTGAGGTGTGTGGGTTTCAGTGGATCTGTGAATCTCCTGAAAACTGCACACTAAATTGTCTTACGTGTACATTTGTTTTTCTGAGACAAGCAAGGGTGCATAGCTTTCAACAGATTTTCAAAAGAGTATGCAGCCCTCAAAACAAAACAAAAAAATAAAACAAAGAACCAATTACTTAAAGCATTATAAAAGAAATTTCAAATGTTTACTTAAATAAGCTACACAATAAAATGTGATACACACACCCTGGCTGGTATGGTTCAGTGATTGAGCATCGACCTATCAACCAGGAGGTCACAGTTGGGTTCCCTGTCAGAGCACATGCCCCAGTAGGCAATGTGCAGGAGGCAGCAGATCAATGATTCTCTATCATCATTTACATTTCTATCTCATTCTTCCTCCCCGTTCCTCTCTCTGAAGTAAAAAACATATTTTTTAAAAGAATGTGATACACAAAGTTAAGATCAAAGACAACCTTCCTTATTATGATCATTACATTTCTGACTTTGGTCCTAGAATAATAAAGAAATCATGCCCTAGCTGGTTTGGCTCAGTGGATAGTGTGTCCACAGACTGAAGGGGTCCTAGGTTCAATTCCTGTCAAGGGCATGTACCTCAGTTGATCCCTGGCCCTGATCTAGGTATGTGTGGGAGGCAACCAATTGCTGTCTTTCTCTCACATCATGTTTCTCTCTGTTTCTCCCTTTCCCTTCCACTCTCTCTAAAAATCAATGGAAAAATATCCTTGGGTGAGGATTAACAAACAAACAAAAAAGAAATCATGACATGTTTCATCGTCAAATGGTTATGTACCACAACTTTGCCTCTTTGAAGCAGCACATTTTTATTGTACACTCTATTTCCCCTATAGAACTAAAGGATCTGCAGACTCCAGCTTGATAAACTCTCCTATATCAGGATCAGAGAATAAAGTAATTTCTCAATAGTTATTTCCACAGGCTTCCCTAGATAGTTCTACTACCCTTCAGCACAACATGTTAAAGGCGTATCTTATTTTAAAACATGAAACCCATGGCAAATAAACCACTGTAACTAGAAATAAGCTAAACTCTCTTGGAGGTTTTTCTGGAGAAATCTATATTATTTCTACAAGTAATAACAGATTGCCTTATTTTTATTCCCAAGAAGTTAATTTGCTACACATTTGTATCCAGACAGTTTCTTTTGACTAATGTCCAATATTTAAAGTGGTGTTTTTTTTTAGTGAAAGAGCTCTTCTGAATAAGAACAATGTTACAAAATAATAGTTTTAAAAGTACATGTTACAAATGAAGGGGAGAATAGATACACTGTTTTGAATATAGCCTTGATCAACAGTACTAGAAAATGTCTATGAAAAATGTCTGAACACCCTGTTGAAAAGCTTCTAGATACAGAAAGAATTATTTTCTCTGGGAAATCCCACAGAATTCCCTTTTCATAATATTTGATTAAAAATGTAAGACCCAGATTCTCTTAGGCCTGGTATTTAGAACCACCATAATCTAATATTACCACGAAAGCAAATATTTTATTGCCCTAATTTTATTCTAGTCTAAGAAAATATTTTTAACCAGCAAGTACATTTTCTTTTTAAAGCATTTCATGCAAATTATAAGTTTTTGCCAGGTAGGTAAGCCGGGTTACAGGCTAGATCCCCAGAAGCGGGTGTGCAGGAGGCAGTCAATGATGCTTCTCTCTCATCAATGTTTCTATCTCTCTATCCCTCTCCCTTCCTTTCTCTCTAAAAACACACAGCTATACAGACAGAGCTCTAAAATCAACCATTTTCTTAATTTTGAGAGAAAATTAAGAAAAAGAATGAGCTCTATAAATATAATACTCTACTGTAATTAAAAAGCAAAAATGTAAAAAGCACATACACAAAGCAACATTGTATAATTATAAAGACATATACATACTTAAGAAGATATGCCAAATACCGATATATTGGTAGGTGCAAAAGGGTGTATGAGGTCAGGAGGGAGTGGGAGAAATCACAATGAAGGGAAAAAGAAGTAAAATTAAATGAGAGAGGCCTTTGCATAGCTCATTGACAGCGTGCTATGAACTGATTAGAAATTTTGAGTGATTCAACTCCCGATACTTGAGGTCTCCCTTAAAAAAAAAAACACCCTTCTTTTGATAAAGAAACCAAGTTACAATAATATAAATTAACTTTCAAAATGATGAAAGTGTTCAGTCAGACTTCTATGGATAACTCTAACTTGCCCTAGTCATATCTGAAGAGAAACTTGATTTCATACAGAGTCCATACTTTTAAACATCCATATACCTGGAAAGATAAGAGAATTTGCATATCCTTCTATGTGAGTCCTTGTGATTCATTCAGGTTGCAGTTTAAGTTTCCTTTCAATCAATCCAAGAAGTATCAGTGTGACCAAGCAAAGCAGGTTCCAAAGGCAGGAAGCAGAAGCAAATGATGCTATGAAGTACCTTTCTGAATTGTCCCTTCTGCTGTTGTAGAGCCTTGGGGCAATCCTTCAATGTAGGTGGTTGGCAACAAGTCTGCTGAGATAGGCTGACCTTGTAGCTTTTGCAGTCTCTCTTGTACAGCACTGGTCAGGTCTACATAAGCTTCATCAATGCTGGCACGTTCAATCACAGCAAAATGAGACATTACCTCCATCACTTCCACACTGGCTTCCCGGTACCTAAAAAGTATACATGTAGGCACTAAATGGAGGCAACATTGAGACTGTGGGCCACATACCCCCCTCATAATAGAATAATAATATACATAATCAGGGTAAAAACTCCTTAAAGAGAAGACTGGCTTGTCAGAGACTAGATAGTAACCCAATTGATAAGGCAGAAGATGGTCAATAACAAAAGCAAGGAAAAGGAACCATGGAGGCAAACATTTGTAGTGCAACTCCAGCACACCAAGGTAGAAAGCTTCTAGACCAGCGGTTCTCAACCTGTGGGCCGCGACCCCTTTGGCGGTCGAACCACCCTTTCACAGGGGTCGCCTAAGACCATCCTGCATATCAGATATTTACATGACGATTCATAACAGTAGCAACATTACAGTTATGAAGTAGCAACGAAAATAATTTTATGGATGGGTCACAACATGAGGAACTGTATTTAAAGGGCCAGAAGGTTGAGAACCACTGATCTAGACCATGAACATATCTGTGTGACAAGTATCTCTCTAAAGAGAAAAGAAATGCTTCAAACTAGTTTAACTAGAAAATATTTTACTATGATCATCTACTATTCCTTTTGTTATTTTCATATAGTATTCTATATGAAATACACCCACATAGTATTCTGCTTTGACCTTTGTCTTCAAATAAGAGGTAACTTATAGGGAATACTGCACTGATTAGTGAACCCAAGTATCTTGTCTTTCTCAGGCTGGTATTTTTATTTATAAACTAGCAAAGTGACGTGTGGATTTTATATTTCAGTTTGATTAACATGTGAGCTGGTTATTGCTACACACACACACACACACACACACACACACACAAAACCAATAAAGGCCAAGCACTTCTGAATATACTAACATTCAAATTATCAAGTTGAAGATAAGCTCCTAGAATGTGGGAATGTGTCCGGGCAGGCAGACACCCACTGCTAGGGGATACCAATCTCACCATATACGTCTATTCAAATCCTAACAAGCAGCTTTTCTGGCCAATGTAGCTAGTTTTCTAGGCAATATGTGGATGTTTTCTTTGCTTTGGACTTGCTATGGAATTTAACTAAGTTCTTTGTTCCTGTTGAACCTATTTTATTTATCATAAAAATGAAAATATTTGCACTTCACAAAACATCTATCAAAACTGGTATAATTATTGTTCTAAAACATTCTCAAATGAAAGAATTAGAGAAAGACAGCTTTTTTTCTTTCAGTCATTATTTGGGCTGGAGAGAGGATAGTCAGATTCAAATAAAAAAGAGCTCCATGTCAACCTATGAATCAAGAGGCCATAGTTCAGGGCACCTGCCCAGGTTGTGGGCTGGATCCCCAGTAGGGGGCGTGCAGGAGGCAGCCAATCAATGATTCTCTCGTCATTGATGTTTCTATCTCTCTCTTCCTCTCCCTTCCTTTCTGAAATCAATAAAAATATATTAAGAGAGAGAGAGAGGCCCTAGCTGGTTTTGCTCAGTGGATAGAGCATCGGCCTACTGACTGAAGTGTCCAGGGTTTGATTCCGGGCAAGGGTATATGCCTGTGTTGTGGGCTCAATCCTTAGTAGGGGGCATGCAGGAGGCAGCCAATCAGTGATTCTCTCTCATTGTTGATGTTTCTACCTCTCTCTCCCTCTCCCTTCCTCTCTGAAATCAATAAAAACATATTAGAGAGAGAGAGAGAGAGAGAACAGTACATTCACCCACAGAGCAAGGAAAGGACAATTGAAAGAATTTAAACATTTATTGATTGATTTGAGAGAGAGAGAAACATTGATTTGCTGTTCCATTTATTTATGCATTCATTGGCTGATTCTTATATGTGCCCTGACCAGGGATTGAGCCTGCAGCCTTGGTGTATTGGGATGATCATCTAACCAACTGAGCTACATGGCCAGGGCAGAGCAAAGAAAGGATACTCTATTGCAGTAGTTAGTGTTCCCTCACAGCCTCTTAAGCAAATTACTCCAAAGTATTTTTAAGAATATTTAATAAACTTAGTGTATATACATTTCTGCAAATCATATTTTAATTTTTATAATCTTGTATCTCAGGTCAATTATTAAAATAATAATTTTAGCCGAAACCGGTTTGGCTCTGTGGATAGAGCGTCGGCCTGCGGACTGAAGGGTCTCAGGTTCGATTCCGGTCAGGGGCATGTGCCTTGGTTGCGGGCACATCCCCGGTGGGGAGTGTGCAGGAGGCAGCTGGTCGGTGTTTCTCTCTCATCGATGTTTCTGACTCTCTATCTCTCTCCCTTCCTTTCTGTAAAAACTCAATAAAATATATTAAAAAAAAAAAAAATAATAATAATAATAATTTTAAATGATCAAGTCTTAATAATTCTCTGGCCTATAAATTCTCTCCTAAATTTTCTAAAACTGCCTTTCAAAAAGTTTAAAGTTGGTGGCATGTGACTTTTTAAAATCACACTCTGAAGTCAACTATATTTCTGGGAAATTACATTATGTCCACTAACTAAATTAATTTTAATTTATGATTAAGTATTAAGCTCGGGTCAAATCTATCTTTTCTGGTGATAACTCCAATATGTGGTTGGCTATGACACTCTACCTTTAGACTTCCAATTCACAGGTGAATTCAGGAATATCTCAAGTCCCAAGTCAAAGCATGATCCCTACACATCACACCACACAGTATAAGGTAGTGTGAGAATGTGAATACTGGAAAGAGAAAAAAATTCAGTCTTCTACTTTTTAGCTGTAGGAACTTATTTAATGTCTCTAAACTTCTTTCCTTGTCTGTGTGTGGGAGGATGTGTGTATGGGGAGAGTACCACTAGAACATACCACATAGCAATGTGAGATTGAAGAGACATTGCCTATGGAGAGCTTAACCAGGTGCCTGGCATATGACATAAGCTCAATGCATACTATTAGGATTATTATAATGGCTTGGGCTTATACCTACCTCTAACTTGGCTATGCTTGTACATGTCTCTCATTCCAAGGCTAACCTTCTAAAATTTGGAAAGAGACAGCTCAGTTCAAAAACAGAGAAGGTAATCTCCTTTGAAACTGTTTCATTCTGGCAAATAATTCTAGATATTGCACTAGAATGCCAGTTTGACTAAGTCTTCTCTGGTAAACTCTTAGTTTCACAGTCAACTTAGTTACTTCAAACACTTCAGACTTGGCCTGCGAACATGTAATTTGATATTAAGTTTTAAGTATAACAACCCATTTTTAAATAAGAAACTGAAAGGATGTCAAGGCAGTAATTATTATAGGTTATAATGACTGAACTATTTCTGAAACAGTCCCATAGAAAAGTTGGCTGATCAAAGATAACTTTTTCAGATGTTATTTACACAAAACAAATTGGAAAAATCATTTCCTAGCCTCATGGATTAATATTTCCAACCCTTCCATTCCCCTCAAATCATCTTTCCTTCTTACTTGGTGAGGTTGGCTTTCCCACGAGACTCACGAACTTGTGCCAGAAGAAGATCTGGGCATAACTTCTTAGCATCATCTGCCCACATGTTTCTGGTGACTCCAAATGCACGAGCTTCATAACTCACTGCAATTATTCTAAGGTTACCAAAAGAAAGGAACAGAAAAATATTACCTGACACAGGCACAAATAATTAAGATTTATCATGAATAGGCTATACATATAATAGTAGAAACTTTTTGGCCACAGATGCCACTATTTAATTTCAAACACAGCAGTTCAGACATCTCAAAAATGCCTAGCATAGGGCCATGCCTTGCATTCTTACAGATTAGAACAGTAGTTGACAGTTACAATAACTATGATACATACCCACCACCCTTCCATGATTTGTACTGCACGACTGCACAAGGTTTATTCCTCAAGTGAGGATTTTGCCGCTGCTCCACTTGAACAAAAAAACAGTCCATGTCCACTAGAGCAACTACCCGGTCCTGTCCATTAGCCATTTTCCTGGAAGACAATATTTTATAGACAGTTAAAAAAGAGACCTAATTACCATTTGCCACAGCATGGATGGAACTGGAGAGCGGATAAATACCACAGGATCTCACTCATTTGTGGAATATAATGAACAACATAAACTGATGAACAAGGACTGATCCAGAGACGGAGAGGCATTGATTGGACTGTCGGGACTTGGAGGGAAGGTAGGGGAGGGTGGGGGTAAGGGGGAAAGATCAACCAAAGGACTTATATGCAAGCATATAGGCCTAACCAATGGAATTGGACAACGGGGGGGGGGGGGGGTGAGGGCATGAAGGGGGGGGGGCGTAGAGGGTAACGTGGGGACAAGGACACATATGTAATATCTTAATCAATAAAAAATATATTAAAAAATTTTACAATAAAAAAATTAAAAATGAAAAAAAAAAGAGACCTAATCTAAAGTGCCAAGGAAAACTGTATTTCCATTCTTCCACCATGAGTATGAGAGCATAGAAACTAACAAGAATATAAGAGGCATTTTCATCTACTGCTAGAAGGAAGATAATAAATTGGTACAATTTTAGGAAGGTAATAAGTGTTAAAAGCTTTAAAAATACTCATCCCCAAAAGAACTGAACACTTCACAAAAGAAGATAGTATACAAATAGTCAACAGGCACATGAAAATGAGCTCAACATCATTAGTCATAGGGAAATGCAAATTAAAACCACAATGCACAACCTAATTCATAGATAAGTCTCAAGTATAAATTCAGGGGAAAGAAAAGCAGAAAATGATATATAGCATTATAGCATTCCTGTGAATTGCTTTAACTTTTTATTTTGAAATAATTTTAGACTTACGAAAATACTGCAAAAATAGTAGGGTTCTCCTATACCCAGTTTCCCCTAATGTTAATATTTCACATAGCACAATTATAAAAACTAAAAAATGAACATTGGTGTAATATTCAACTACATACTTTACTTGAACTTCACCAATTACTCCACTAATGTCCTTTTTCTGTTCTAGGATCCAATCTTCGTCATCATGTCTGCTTAGCCTTTTCCAATCTGTGACACTCCTCAATCTTCCCTTGTTTTTCATGAACTTGACACTTCTGAAGCGTCAGTTAATTTGAGAATATTTTCTCTTGATTAGACTGAAGTTATGCATTTTGGGCAAGAATATCACGAAAGTTATGTGCTCTTCTCAGGGTATCATACTGGGAGGTACACAATGTCAATATGTCTTATTATTGGTGATGTTAACCATGATCATTTAGTTGAGAGAGTGTTTGCCAGGTTTCTCACTGTAAAGTTACTATTTTTTTCCTTTTGTAACTAATCTTAGGGAAGATACTTTGAGATGGCTAATATCCTGTTTGTTTGTTTTTTGTCAAACTTTCAACTAAGCACCCATTCAGTGAATCTTTTCTGCAACAATAATTTTGCAGTGTTCTAATTGGCAACTTTCTACTCACTCATGGACATGTCTGAAAAAACTACTACATGCCATTTGGATAGTAGATTGGAAGAACAAACCTTATATACTCGATAGTGGATACAAACTAATATTATCATTTAACAATGTTAGAAATTTGGAAGAAGGAATGTGAAACTAATGAAATGGCTTCCCAACTGTGCTGAAGATTGGGATCACCTAGGAACATGAAATAACGTTGATACTGGCCTCTACCACCAGACACCTAATTTAATTGGTATGGATATGACCTGGGCATTGTGATTGTAACAAGCTTCCCCGGCACTTCTGATATGCAGCAAAGACGGAGCGCCACCGACCTAAAGTATATGATTTAAATATGAGAAACACAGGTTCTACGGTTGAGTAAGCACTCAACTGTATTCTTTTTTAAAAAGTGTCAACAAGTAACATTCACCTTGAAAAAAGTGACATGCAGCTACAAACTGCGAGATTAGTGGAAAGAAAACAACGACCTTATAAAATCAGAGTGTCTGAGGCATTCATTCCTTACCCATTCCACGTACCCCAAACGGGCAGGATGTGGTGCCCTGCACATTTATAAGTGAAAGCCGTACCAGGCCAGGAACCACTTTGCCTGGAAGTGCCTTTTGCGTAGCGCTGGAACAGATGCCAGAACAGAAACAGCAAATGCCTTTTCTCTCTCACAAAGGAAACCCCAGGCGGGCAGGACAGCAGATGTGCGCGCTGCGTTAGACCCAAACCCCCGAAGCGGAGCTGACGTCCAGCGAACATACCACTGGCCAAGCAAACACAAATACGGGCGCGCGGACTTTCCACAGATCACGAAACTGCTGGCGTTTATAAACAGTTCGCGCACGTCGCTGGAGGAAGCAAGAGCTTCTCAAAGATGGAACATGAAACGTACTCTCGGCCAAAACCCTCTTTTCAGAACAAGGGTTAGACTACCGTGAAGTCACATAGCGCTTCGGGTGATCAAAGCGGCACAAAGTCGCCACTGCAATGTTTAAATACCCCGACTTGCCCTAACCGGTTTGGCTCAGTGGATAGAGCGTCGGCCTGCGGAATGAAAGGTCCCAAGTTCGATTCCGGCCAAGGGCATGGACCTTGGTTGCGGGCACATCCCCAGTAGGAGGCGTGCAGGAGGCAGCTGATCGATGTTTCTCTCCCATCGATGTTTCTAACTCTCTATCCCTCTCCCTTCCTCTCTGTAAAAAATCAATAAAATATATTTTTTAAAAAAAGTCTTCACATCTCTTTAAAATAAATAAATAAATAAATACCCCGACTTATCCCAATCTGTTCAACACAAGTCTGGTGCCCATCAGGTGACAGTACATCCGAGGCGGGTAAGCACAAGCGAAGAGGGAGGGCTAAGAGCTATGGAGACAAAGTCCCCCCCACCGCCGCCCCCCCTCCCCAAACACACACACACACACACACACACACACACACACACACACACACACACTCTCACAGAATACCAGGCCCGTATCTCTCCGTACGCATTTCTATTTCATGTCATTTTGGCCCGATGCTGCCACCAGCCACTGCTACATCATGAACCAGTACCCAAAGCAACACAAAAAGCTTGTTAGCAGTGATCCCGAAAGTTTCCGAATTCTCTTACCAATGTGGCAAACGCCCGGCGAAACTGTCAACGGTGGACGCCGCAAATGCCGGGCTCGTCGTCTAGAGGAAGATGAAGGAGTCCTGGATATCTGTCCCCTTCCCCGGAGCCGGTCAGTCAATGTCGAGAGGTTGATCCCCGTCAGGATGAAAAAACGGACCAAGAGTCGCAGAGGGCCGTTGTCGGGGCAGCGGCCCGCACAGCCGCGAGGGTTCCGGCAACGCCGACCAACCCCACAGCTGGCCCCGCTGACCAAGATCGGACCGCGCGCCAGCGGCGAAGGGCGTTGTCGCGCCTGCGCAGCACAGCTCTTCCGTCCCCCACTCCGCCCACCGCGGGGCAACCGTCACAAGGGAGCCGCCACTTCCGCCCGCGCGTGCGCAGTGGAGGGTCGGGCGCGTGTGCAGCGCCGGTTCTTTCCCCGCCGGAGCGTCAGCTACTCCTCCTGCTCTCCCCCCCTCCCTCCCCAGCCCTCCGCGGCCCGGTACTAGCGTGTGGTCCCGGCCAAGGAGCTGTCTATACCTCGCGCTCCCGGCCAGCCACCGTGCGCTCTCGCGGCGCGTGGCAGTAGCCATGGCGATGGATCAAGTGAACGCGCTGTGCGAGCAGCTGGTGAAAGCGGTGACGGTCATGATGGACCCCAGCTCCACCCAGCGCTATCGGCTGGAAGCCCTCAAGGTAGCTGGGGTCTGGCGCCCCGGGCCTGCCCCGAGACCCCCCCTGAGCTCATAACCCTGCTTGTCTCCTGCTCACGTGGCCCTTGGACCTCCCTCCCCAACCCGGAGGGACCTTCCCTCGCCGCCCTCCGCGCCTCTTCCCATTCCCAGCCTACTCTGCTCGCCGCGCCTGCCCTTTTCCCGGGACGCCCTGGCCACTCGCTGCTTTTGGCGGTCTTTTCTCACCACCGCTTCCCACTGCCCTCTCCTCTCCCGATCCCCGCTTCTGTTCACTGATGTTCGCACCACGACCCTTCCCACAGCTGGCTGCACTTACTCCCCCCAGCCCCGCACCTCCTCGCCTTCCCCTGGCGCACGTGTCCATCCGGTACTCATCGCCAGCTACCTACCTTCATTATGGTCTCCCTGCTAGCCCTCTCCCGACCCGCCCTAAATAGGCTCCAGCCCCCATAGTGCCCCTTTACTTAAAACGTTAGACCCCTTCCTACCCTCTTGTATGTCTTGGGTATTTTGGGCTAATTCTCACACGTCCTCATGCTTCTTATTGCGTGACATTCTTAGGCTGTTTTGCGCGATGATGAACTTCCACCACTTACTTTGCATTTTAAAATACAAGGGCGCTTTGATTTCCTGAAAGTAGTTTTCTTGAGTCCCCGGCTGTGCTACTGGGACTGACTTGTGATGCTAATACAAGTGGGGATGCTAATGCAATTTGGGCATTTTCCCGCATCAGGCAGTGTATGTGGGCTATGGGAAGTGAAATAACCATTAGGAAAAATGGTTTACATAGTTTAAGTGATGCACAGTGAGCATCATTTAGAGGAAACTTGACAATATGTAGATGTATGCAACAGAATTTGGAATCAAACAGTTGGGTTGTATTTTTACTATGAAATATTAAAAATAGATACAAAAGTAGAGAGAATACTGCAGTTGTTTTGTGTATACCTATTGCATAAACTCAGCTGTTATAAAGATTTTACGTTTGCTTTATTCCCACTCCTCCACCAAAAGTTTTTAAAATATATCTTAGAAATTGTTGTTTCACCCCCATTTGCTTCAGGGGTGTATCTCTAACATAATTTTTTAAAAATATTTTTTTATTGATTTCAGAGAGGGAGAGAGAGAGAGAAACATCAATGATGAGAGAGAATCATTAATTGGCTGCCTCCTGAACGCCCCTCACTGGCGATTGAGCCCACAACCCCCTGCATGTGCCCTGACTTCCTGGTCGATGCTCAACCACTGAGCTGCACTGGTTGGGCATAACATAATTTTTTAGTCTTTTAGGTCAGATTTTTTTTTTCAACATTAGTCGGATATTGCATGGGATATCTGGAACTATGAAAGTGAAAGGAATGTTTATCAGTCTTTACTCATCATAATTGATTTATACTTTGTATCTTTAAAATGTAGCTCAGGTTTGAGTTAAGATGATGCTTTTTTTAGTCCCTACTCCTGGCTCCTAAGGGAAATGTTAACTTTTCTTCTTTCAGTTTTGTGAAGAGTTTAAAGAAAAGTGCCCTGTTTGTGTCCCCTGTGGCTTGAGGTTGGCTGAGAAAACACAAATTGCCATCGTCAGACATTTTGGCCTTCAGATCCTGGAACACGTTGTTAAGTAAGGAGCTTTTGGATGTTACCACTGAAGCCCATGAGAGAGCTAATCTTTATTTCTTACATAACTCACAGAGATGCTCTTTAGGTGAGCAGAAAAGAACAGTCCCCTAGAAGAAAGGATTGGTCCCCTAGGGGTTATCACAATCTCATGCTGTTCTCATTCAGGACTTAACCTTTCTCTTCTTCAGTTTCTTTGTCCATGTAAAGTGCATAGTACATACTAAGCATTCTATAAATATTAACTGATAGTCATTCAGCCAGCATTTATTGAGTTCCTACTATATGCCAGCAGACCTCAAAGTTTTTTTAGAAAAGACTTTGTAAATCATCACAGAAATGGAATTAGTGATGTCTAAATTGTATTTTCCAAAAAACAACTATATTGTTGAAGATGTCCCAGGTAAATACATTTGCTTTTGTCTGTCAGGAAAATCAAGGGGAAAGCTGATCTGTGCACAAATCCTCTGGTTTCCAATTAATAGATCATTGCCTGTATAAAACTCTTTCCCAAGAATTTTTCTGTTATTAATATTTTGGTTAAGTGTAGACGGTTTTGTCTGTTCTTTGAAGCAAATTAATCAAAAGCATAATTTCTTAGTGAAATCGCCAGCATAATCTAACACAAGAATCAAAGCTAGTCTCATGAAGAGAAGACTTCTAATGTTGACTGTTCTGTTGACTTTATACATTTTGGTGGCCAGGTTTCGGTGGAACAGCATGTCTCGATTGGAGAAGGTCTATCTGAAGAACAGTGTCATGGAGCTGATTGAAAATGTAAGGAACGGTTGGTTGGAAGACTTGTGTTTCTAAGGTAGTTTAGACAGAGTGACTTCTTCATATAGCATTTGTGTAAAAACTCAGTGGTTCCTCATATGTTAGCATGCTTTGTATGATATTAAATGCTACCTTCAAGGTAAAAAGAACCATCATCACAACAAATCATAATTCATCACAAATGTACTGTATGATAGTAATAGTAAAAATATGCAGAGTGAATTTGTTCCAGGAGTTAGAATATGACTTTAAACATGTTTAAGATCCACAGCCTTTTTTCTTTTTTTTTACAAAGGTCATAAAAAGTAGAATCTCTACCTCTGTTCATCCCCAAAGCCTGGTGCCTTTAATAGGAAAAAAAATTCCCTTCAAAACTATTAATTAACTTAGGATTTGTATTTTTGCTAGTTGTGGGAAAACAACAAATAGCCCTAGCCGGTTTGGCTCAGTGGATAGAGCGTCAGCCTGTGGACTGAAGGGTCTCTGGTTCAATTCCAGTCAAGGGCACATGCCCAGGTTGCAGGCTCGGTCCCCAGTAGGGGACGTGAAGGAGGCAGCCGATCAAGGATTCTCCTCATCGTTTATGTTTCTATCTCTCCCTCTCCCTTCCTCTCTGAAATCAATAAAATATATATATATATATATATATATATATATATATATATAAAACAAACAAAAAAACCCAGATGTGTGAGAGAGGAACATTGAGTGGTTGCCTCTGCACATGCCCTGGCTGGGAATCAAACCCACACGCTTTCGGTGTTTGGAATGACACTACAACCAACTGAGTCACACCAGCCAGGGCATCATTAATCTTGATAAAGGAGAGTCCCAGTAGTAGTCTTTCTATTTTCTAATACTAGAACTATTGCTAAAATATTTCGGGCGCCTCCTAACTCTCCAAATTTCAGCCCCTCAATGTACTTATTTCATATTCTTCACCCTGGCTTTCTTACAAAATGGAACAATCAATATGAGATTCTCTTCAGTTCCTAAAGGAGAACAATGATGTCTTCCTTACTCTGTGTGACAGCCATTTTATAAGCTAGTGCAACCCTCACTTAAGCTTTAAGTGGGGAGAATAATTAGCAAGAACGCAGGACAAGTGACTCAGACATGGAAAACAGGTTGGTTTATTCTGTTTAGTTTAAAAGCAGGCCTCTTGAGTTTCCCCACTTTCATGGCCCAGTTTTTCCCTTGAATTCAGTCTTGCAGACCTCTTCATAACTCTTGTTCTTTTTCAGGGAACACTGAACATCTTAGAAGAGGAGAACCATATTAAAGACGTTCTGTCTCGAATTGTAGTAGAAATGATTAAGCGGGAGTGGCCACAGCACTGGCCTGACATGCTAATAGAATTGGACACTCTTTCCAAACAAGGGGTATGAAATACAGCTGTACCTTTTTCTTTTTCTTTTGTTGTTCTTCAGAGGTTTATTTTTATTTTTATTGATTGATTTGAGAGAGAGAGAAACATTGGTTTGTTGTTCCACTTATTTATGCATTCATTGGTTGCTGCTTGTATGTGCCCTGAGTGGGGATTGAACCCACAACCTTGGCTTATTGGGACGATGCTCTAACCAACTGAGCTACCCAGTCAGGGTAGGGCGGGATTTTGTTATTTGTTTGTTTTGTCAACAGAAAAGAGCCTTTAGACAAACCTATAATGAAAAGATGTTTAATGTAACTAGCTAATTTCTGTTAATGCAGGAAACACAGACAGAATTAGTGATGTTCATCCTTTTGCGCCTGGCAGAGGATGTAGTGACCTTTCATACGCTGCCCTTTCAAAGAAGAAGGGACATCCAGCAAACATTAACCCAGAACATGGAAAGGATCTTCAGTTTTCTACTTAACACACTTCAGGAAAATGTCAACAAGTACCGGCAAGTGGTAAGGAATAGCCCACCTCCCTGAAGTTGTGTTTTTTAATGAGTGTTTTTTTGTTTGTTTAAAGTTCAAATGAACAAGGAACTAAGGTGTCTAGTTCAGCAAAAGAGGAGGCCATTTTATGGGCAAAAAAGAAAAGGTGGCAGAAAAAACAACTGATTTTTTTTTTGTTTGTTTAAGAACTGATTTTCTAAGAAACTCAGGTCAGTGAGTTTAGTTTCCAAGTGTACTGGGGAAAAATAATTCCTTTTATAGTGAGAAGTGTTTTTAAATAGTATAAAAATGAAGGTTAATTCTTAATATTTGAAAGCCCAGATATCTAATAGGTCAGGGTAGTATC